TCCTTACTTTTCTCATCTGAAATTCAGATGAAACAAATACTACTGATATCACAGAGCTGCTGAGGAGGCTAAATGTACTGATATGTATAAAGCCTTTTTACCAGGGTGCCTGACTCATACATAATAAGCCTTTGATAAATGCTATTATGTGGTCCAGCTGAAATTTTTCTCTGTAAAACATTTCCACTAGTCAAAATTGATTCTTCCATTAAATAATTTTTTTTCGTTTCAAGCATTGTCATCTTCGTGTGTTTTCATTGTTACACAGGAATAACTCTTCATCTTTTGGTATACTCATCTGCACATTTTACATTAAGATATTAAATCTATTTCCTTAGCGGTGCAATTTGAGCTGCAAGTAATTTTCAGAAAATGGTTTTACTACAAAATTTGTATTGGCTCTTCTTTCCAAATGTCAGTCAAATCCTTTGTACCTCCTTTACAGTGAAACACTTCTCCTAGGCTTAAAAAAACAGCCATACTGAGAAATCCTATTTTTTTAAAAAAAGCCAATTTCCATGGCAACCAAAAATAACTGAACATAAAACTGCCAAATATTATTCAATGCCTTTGGATTTTGTTTGGGTTCTGTGGATTCATTTAAGTGATGGACAAGAAGGCCAGTGTTTGTTTGTAGTTGTTTCTGTCTTCAGGCTGGAATATCTTTTCCATGGATCTGTATTTTCACTTTTTTTTCTTTTTCATTCATCTCTACAGTCCACACATGAAAGAGTAGTGTTTATAATTTGGGAGAAATGACAGAATCACAAAGTGATACAATCTAATGTACCTGCAGAGAATTTGACATAATTTTAGATGAAAAGTATCTCCTCTCATATCTAGCAATAGTACCTTACATTTCATAGTACTTTACAATTCAAGAAACTTATCCATCCATTATATAATTTAACCCTAAATATAACTCTTTATGGGTATTTTTTAAAGTGTAATCAAAGATCCTCAGAAGGATAAGGCAACTTTCTTAGAGATAGCAGATGGTGAAATCAAAATGCAAATCTAGAATTCCTTATACTTTGTCCATTTTTACTACACTTTCTCATTGTTCTAGGAAAAATTGTTAAAATTTCCCTTAGTAACTTGTTACCAGACAGCCATTATCATGATGCTATTCTAAATGCCTAATGTAAATACATCCTGCTGAAATGGAAGATGACTAATTTCACATTATTTGAGCTAAAGTACTTTCCCAAGGTCCTAAATGGAAGGTAAACAATCAGAGTTACTAAATTAGTGGAAAATAATGCCCCCTTTTTAAAAAGATTCCTTCCCCATGCAGAAGAGGAATCAGCAAACTTTTCTGGAAAGGGCAAAATAGTAAATACCCTAGATTTTGTGTGACAGTCTCTCTAAGACGACTCAACTCTATTGTAGCCTGAAAGCAGCCACAGGTAATATGTAAATGAATGGGCATGGCTGTGTACCAATAAAACTTTATTCACAAAAACAAGGGGCAGGAAAGATTTGGCCCATGGGCTGTGGCTTGCCCACCCCTGGCCTAGAAAAGACCCACTTCAGTTTATTGTAGAAAGATGGAGAATAAGATTTAGGCTGTTGTTATTGAAGCACTGAGAGAAACATCAAGCAGAGGACAAGAAACATTCTTATATGTTAGGGATATCTTTGTTTTATTTTCATTTTGTCCAGGGAAGGGATGGATGAGGGGCTACTCTAGGTAACCTTATTAGCCTGTGTTCTCTACACTGAATGACAGGACAAATTCTTGCCTCTGGTCAGGGGACTAGTTAGGAAAACATATTGGAACACATCCTTTCATTCCACGCATACTCTTTGGCTCCTGGTTATGTGTTGTGCTGGCAACCATTGGGTAGACAAAGATGATCAAGATTCATTGGCTGCCTTCTAGGTGTTTATAGTCTGGATAGGAGAAGGAGAGGAGGTAATGAGGACAAGTGTACAAAAAAAAAACATAGCATAAAGAAAAATGTGACTTCGAAGGGACATGTGCATCCATCCGTATGTTCACTGCAGCATTATTTACAACAGCCAAGATGTGGAGGCAGCCTGGGTGTCCCCGAATGGATGAATGGATAAAGACAAGGTGGTACATATGTACAATGGAATATCACTCAGCCGTAAAAAAGAATGAAATCTTGCCATCTGCAACAACATGGATGGACCTGGAGGGTATTTTGCTGAGTGGAGTATGTCAGACAGAGAAAGACAGATGCAATGTGATTTTGCTTATATGTGGAATCTAAAGAACAAAACAAACAAACAAACAAACAAACAAACAAACAAACAAAACAGAAACACACTCCTAGATACAGAGAACATTTTGATGGTTGCCGGATGGGAGGGGGCTGGGGAGATGGGTGAAAAAGGGGAAGGGATTGAGAATTACAAATTGGTAGTTACAAAATACTCATAGGGATGGAGAGTACAGCATAAGGAATATAGTCAATAATATTGTAACAACTATGTATGGTGTCAGATGGGTACTAGATTTATCAGGGTGATCACTTTGTAAGTTATATAAATGTCTAGTCACTATGTTGTATACCAAAACCAATATAATATTGTATGACAACTGTAATTGAAAAATTGAAAAATTATAAAGAACAGAAAAGAAAAGAAAAACGTAGGCAGGGCCAGTAAGGAGGTATTAGCAAAGTGTACTGAGAAGACAAGGGCAGGAGAAATGAGCTTTGTCCTGGGCGATCAGGCATGGCCTGACCAGAGAGGGTGACATCTAGCTGGTGGGTCATGAGGAATGGGAGGATCCCCAAAGGAGTTGAAGGAGAGGCAGGTCAGGAAGAAAAAACTTGAGGTACACAGGTACCGAAAGGCAGGGAGAAAGAGTGAGGAATAGGTGTGGGAGCCGGAAGTCCAACCAAATCTTCTCAGAGCCTGAAAGGCAAAGCTGACGTGTTGGGATTTTATTCTGCAGCTCAAAGGATCCCTGGGTGACCCTTGAGCCAGCACATAAATCAGATCAGAACGAGGCTTTACTCAGATAGTATCACCAGCTGTGTGGGGAAAACTAGGTTCATTACAGGAACCTCCCAGAACTCGAGAGCAGCGCTGTCTGGCAGAAATACAACATGAGCCATGATGCGAGCCATTTATGTGATTTAACATTTTCTTGTGACCACAATTTTAAAAGTGTAAAAAAAAAAAAAAAGTATTTTTTTAATAATGTACTTTATAACCTAATTTGCCCCAAATATCATTTCGGATATGCAATCAATATAAAAAACTATGAATAAGCCATTCTTTGCCTCACATGAAGTCTTCGAAATCCAGTGTGTGTTTTACACTTAGATCAGGTCTCACTTCAGACTTAACGATATTCCAAGTGCTCAGCATGGCTGGTGGCCACCATATTGGACAGCACAGCTCTAGAGCAGATGCGATAAGAGGCATCAGGATGGGACCTTGGCCTAAACTGGAGGCAAGATTGGAGGACAGTCGTTTGAGGGTGCCTGGCTACTTATTTTGCCAAGTCTCCTTGTGCCCTGAGTTCTTTTAGAATAACCAACATGGGAATAATCGCTGTGCCTTGAAAATAAAATATTCATAAAATGTCATGTGGATTTAGGAAACTCTGTTGTAGCCACAGGTAGGTAAACTGTGAAGGTAAGTACAATCTCAGACACTTTATCATTACAATGATTTCAGTAAGGAGCTTGAATGTTAACATTTTCTTCAGCTGAAAAGGCTCTTAATTCTTTTATGAAACCTTCCAATTTTACAAATGCCAGAGACTCAGTTATCACTCAGTGAGATATGACTCCGGGGGCTGACCAATTCTTTCCTTTTTCCAGGTTACTGTGTGTGTGAGTGTGAGTGTGAGTGTGTGTGTGTGTGTGTGTGTGTGTGTGTGTGTGTGTGTACACACACACACATGACAGAGACAAAGAGGAACAAAGACAGGCAGCAGAGATAAAGGTGGGGGAAGAGGAGAGTAGAACAGGAGCCATGATGCTTTTTCAAGCTACAAATGCCAGGGCCCCACCCTAATCTACTGAATCAGAGACAGACTCACAGCCAGATTAAGGAAGTGCCATCACTAATCTATAAGGATACCTGTATCATCATTGGAAATGTAACAAAACACAATATTTTTTTCTTTTTGAACCAGAACACCTGAATGGTAAAAAGATTAGAGAAAATACTTTATTAAACTACTTGGTGTTGGCTTAGCGGGGAGCCAGAGAGGTAGGTAAGAGTGGAGACAGGGAAGGGCAGAAATAACAACAGCTACTAAACTCCTTTAACCGAGAGAGAGCCGGATGGACTGCAGGGCTTGGGGGCTGGCGGGTGTGTATATATAAAGTTTGGGATGGAGCCAAGTTGCCATAGTAAGAAAGGAGAGGGGGAGGATATTATCAACTGTCTTCATTCTTCTCCTTCCCCTTAGCGGCAGCATTTACTCTTCCAAAAAAAAAAAAGTGGAAAATATTTCATCTTACTTTAGGTACAATTTACTAGTCTTAGCATAATATTGAACTATGAACTACCTTGAGACACCCACATTATCAGTTTGGACATAGACAGGTGTGGTTTAAAAAGCTCTGTAGGTGGTCTGTTTTGAACTCCTCCCCACCAAGGTGAAAACCATCATAGGACCACCTCCTAATTTTATTGTGTGTACCAGTCACCTGTGGGCTTGTTAAAATGCACGTCCTGATTTGTTGGTCCGGGGCGAAGCCCTGCTGCATTTCTGACAAGCTTCTGGGTGATGCCTCTGTTCTCATCTGCAGATTACACATCAAATAGTAAGGCTCCAGCACGTCAAATGTTTGTCTGAACAAAGTAGTATAAGCATCCTTAGGTATTGCCTCCTTTTACACACCGTATTCCCTCCCATCTTTAAAGCCTGTGGCCCCCTTCCCTCGGAGCATCTGAAAGGAGATGAGGAATTGAGAGATCGCAAGGGCCTGAGCTGTGAACCCTGCCTGGGAGCGCACCTTTCCTTTGAGGCTCACCTCTCTCATCCTTTCGCCCTCTGCCTTTAGGTGTCTAAGCTTGAAAGAGAGAAGACTCAAGAAGCCAAGCGGATCCGTGAGCTGGAGCAGCGCAAGCACACGGTCCTGGTGACGGAACTCAAAGCCAAGCTCCATGAGGAGAAGATGAAGGAACTGCAGGCGGTGAGGGAGAATCTCATCAAGCAGCACGAGCAGGAAATGTCGCGGACAGTGAAGGTGCGGGATGGGGAGATCCAGAGGCTCAAGTCGGCTCTGTGCGCCCTCCGCGACGGCAGCAGTGACAAAGTAAGGACCGCGCTCACCATTGAGGCCCGGGAGGAGGCCCGGAAACTGTTTGATGCGGAGCGCCTTAAGCTCTTGCAGGAAATTGCGGACCTGAAAACTGCCAAGAAGCAGGTGGACGAGGCTTTAAGCAATATGATCCAAGCGGATAAAATCAAGGCCGGGGACCTGAGGAGTGAGCATCAGTCCCACCAGGAAGCCATCTCGAAAATCAAGTGGGAGTCGGAGCGGGACATTCGGAGGCTGGTTAGTAACCTTGTGCAGACCGTTCTCTTTCCAGGTTTCAGAGCGCCATGGGTTTGCTTTTTCAGGCGTGTCTCATGAGTGGATTATAAACAGTGCCCGCCTTTTTTCTAGTGTTCTATCCGAAATACAAGCTAGATTGGTAAGCAGGTAGGTCGGTGGATGGGTGGGTGGATGGATGGATGGGTGGATGAATGGAGGAATGGATGGATGGATAATATATTTGGCCAGGCCAAAATTAGTGTCATAAAATGTAAAAGATTTTGAATCACCTTTCTCATAAAAACGAGAGTCTTCCAGCCCTGTGTATATGGAGAGTATTTATGTATTCAATGGCTCCTGTTTTCTTGGATGTCTAAAAATATTCTAAATTATGAACTCGTCCAAAATCAGCATGCTTTTGTGGGCTTTCCGTTTATAAAATGTTGCTGGGTTTTTACAAGTGTCGGGAAAGTTTCTATGGCTTTCAAGATGTCTGATAAACGCAGCCACCGGAACATCCTGAGTGATTCACCAGCCTTCTTTCCAGGAACTGTGTCTGGAAGCAATAAATAAAACTATAAAATTCCTAGTCATTTTTAAAGTAGATCTTTTTCCCCAAAATAAACAGGGGCCATTATAATTTTTAAATTGGATGTCATTCTTCAGTAGCTTGCTTGCTATTATCAACTTCAAAACTTACTTCAACACCTACAGAGTTGGGTCTTTCTTTTTAATATGGATGATCAAAAACAGCATCGATCTCTCACTATGTTTAAAAATAAAACAAATACCATTATTGTGGAAAAGTTGTAATGTCCTAGGATGACCTTGTTCAATTATTTTAGAAGAAACATTTACATGCTTACAAAAGGTCAGACAATTAAGTTCGCAAACTTTCCACTGTTCACTCATACAGGGAAAAGTTCACGAACTTAATTGTGTGACCTTTTCGTATATACTCAGAATGTTTAGCATTAGTTATATCCTAGTTATATTATCAAATTAACCATCACCTGTGAGAATGTACTTTATGCTTCTCTAAAAGTAATACGTTTTTAGGTAAAACTACACATTCCCTCTTGTGTCTGCCGATTCTAAGCAATTATTTTCTAAGAAGTCTAATTATGTTCCTTGAGTGATATCTCTAGGATTTCAATTTTAAGTAAAAAGTGGTTACCATAGAACATTTTAAAAAGCTAAACATGTAATATTCTTTGTACTGCAACACAGTAGGACTGTAAAATGTTGCCTCTGCCACACTTTCCTCATTCTGTATCTGCAATTCATTCTATTGCACCAGTGACAAAAAAGACCAAACACAGTGCAGAAATACTGATCTCTGCCCTGCCTTTGGTTTTTGAAACAACAATGGCTGATAAGAAGGAATCGGGACTATGAACTCTGGAGTCAGCAGGTAGGTAATTGAAAAGGAAGCTTTACATGAAATATTTTTGTTTGTTGATGGTTTTCAATGTAAAATCTGCGAGGATATCCACAGATTTGTAATGGTTTTTGTCCTGACTTTCTTTCACTGGCGCATTGCTGCACTAGACGTGAAATCCCTCTTTAACACGGTCAACTCTAAGCTAACTCAAGAGTGGTTCAAAAATTGGGTGCAAACAGGATAACATGGGAAACTTTTTCAGTAGCACAGGTGCACTTGTCTTAATTTTTACCTTCTTATCTTGTTCCTGACCCCTCCCCAGCTCCATTTTTGAAACTGAAAGTGAGAGAAGTGGGAGCGGATCTACTGAGAAAATTTCCCCAGGGAATTCAGATATATATATATATATATATATATATATATATATATATATATACCCTTCCCATCTAAGAACAGAACTTTGGAAGATTGTGGTATTCAGAGACCAGCGTCCATGCTTATAACCATGATGCAATAGGGCTTCCTCAGCACTAATTCCTGGAGATCCTTCAGAGAACCACTTTGGGAAATGCTGGGAGTCTATGGATATTCTTGGTGCCAGTAGAGCATGGTGTCTAATAGAATGGACTCTCGAGTCAGAAGGCTGAATTTAAAATCAAGCTTAACCACTTATTAGCCATGTGACTATGACCACGTTAACCCTTCAGGCCCTCCATCATCATCTGTACAATGGTAATAACAGAACCTATATAAAAGGAGTGTTAATAAAATGAGAAAAGGTATATAAAGCTCTGTGTTTAGTGCCTTGAATGTGGTAGAAGACCAATAGATTTCAGTTATGATGATGGTGATGATGAATTCATATGATTATATGGGCAGTAACGGAATGATTTCCCAGCAAGTTTAGTTACATAGGGTACATCAGAACCAACTGGGGGCATGCAGATCTGAAACTACGGGGAGCAGGAAGTAACACCATAGATGACGGGTCTGACAAATGAATGTGCTACTCAGTTAAAAATCACATTGGACTCAAGCTTTCTATAAGGAGACAGAAACTAAAAACAATGCTTTTATTCCCAAATTCACAGGGCAGTGTTTGATTCCTCACCAAGTTATCAGATGATATTGCAGGATCTTGCAGAATTTAGCCCAGTGCTCTCCAAAAATTGACATAAAATTTCATCATGTGACTTAGAGGCAGTAGCTCACAGATATTTACATGTGGCAAATATGTGACTATGTAGCACAATGTCTGTCCCCTTTTTTTTTTTTTTTTAGTTCTAAGGAACACAGCAAAGAAAAATTTATACCAAGTTTCTTGTTTTTGTAAGGAGACATCTTTATAAAGAGTAGAAGAGTATGAGATTGTATTAAATGTATTCCTTATCTCCATTTTGAATATTCACATATAATGAAACAGAAGAAAGGTTTCATCTGATAGCTATGCTTTCTTCAACAATTGCTTATAGACAGTCAGTTCACTGGCCTTTAGATGGCAGACATTTCAGTCCAGTGGAACTCTGAACCATTGGTATCAAATGCTTCTGAGACCACACCCAGGCTTAGCAGAAATGAGTGTTGGGATCAATAAACATTTCCCACAGATCTAGGAGGGAAAATAGTGCTAATATAATCAGGTATTTTCTGTCCCTGTTTTTGTTCCAACGATGGTTTTCTGACAGGAAGGGTAACATGGTTGCCAAGAACCACTCTGAAACGTGGATAGGAATGGAACGAACCATGTGGCACGAGCTGCAGAAAGACCTAATGTCAGATTCACTACCTGAATGCAAACGCACTGGTATTGGGGAAGGCGTGGGCTACTGGCAAGTCTGCAGCTTCCTTAGTTCCAAATGACCTGTTCATAGTGACTGCTGCTATTTGAACTGAACTCAAAGGTTATTCCCCCCAAAGAGGACGTAACACCAAAAATTGTCCTGGGAAACGTAGTAGTGGAACATTTAGTATCTGTCTTTATTTAAACACTGATGACCCATTTTACAGTTAACTTTTCCTTTCCATTCCCAGCCAACCCAGACCATTTCAAACAATACGTTGATCAAAGCATCTACACAGAATATACTGGAGGGGAAAAAAATTACTCTCTTTGACCCTGAATTAGCCTAGGATAGCCCTTCATGACACAGTCTTGCCTTGTCTTATTCATGAATTCAATACACTTGTAATATTCATGACTTTTTTCTATATCAATCAGCAGAGAGAAGTTAAACGTGTACAGTTATAAAAATGCACTTCTTTGCAGCATTATTAAATAAAATGTCATGGGTGTCATCTAATTCAGATGGATGAAATCAAAGCCAAGGACAGGATCATCTTTTCCTTGGAAAAGGAGCTGGAGACCCAAACAGGCTATGTACAGAAACTCCAGCTGCAGAAGGAAGCTTTGGATGAACAACTCTTCTTGGTCAAGGAGGCCGAGTGTAACATGAGCAGCCCGAAACGAGAAATTCCAGGGAGAGCAGGAGATGGCTCCGAACACTGCAGCAGTCCTGTAAGTCTATTCAAGTTGAAGTTAAGAACACAGGAGTCATGTTTTATTTAGCTCCCAACTTTTACTTTTCACTTAAGCTCTTTTCCTGTTTACTGTGGAGAAATCAATTCTATCTCCTACTATAAAACCAGCTAGTATCTTGGGAGCAAGGTTATCTAAACTCAGAGGCAACAAAGTGGTCTTGCATGCATTAGCAGATCACAAGAGAATTGCAGATCTTTAAAACTCCTTGATAGACTTTTTCTAGCCAAGCAGTACCTATCCAAACTTCAGCCTGTTACAAGAATCATAAATTAGATGAAAATACTTTGCATCTTGCCAAGACTGGTAATTTTCCCTTGTGTGAACAACTGGGTTGGAAATTGGTAAGGACGGTTATCACCTACAGGGGTCAACATGTGTAACTATTAAAAGATTAAGCCATTTATATCATCATCTGAATGTTTCTAGTTTGATTGAACTTGACACTTATTTCTGTGGATTTTCATCATTTTATATGAGAAATTATTTTCAGAAGTGCAACGATAGAAATCAGCTCATATATAGTTGGCTTTCATATCTTATACCTTTCAGATCATTTAACTGCTAAAAAGATGAAAATGAATTATTTAGGAACACAGACAGGTTCCAAAGTAGTACTTAGAACCAAGTAATGAATAATTTATGAGTTGGTATTCAGGATATATATATATATATATATATATATCCCAGTAGGTGGTGGAAAGACTACAGAACTAGGATTTAGCAGATGTAAGTTTTCGTTCTAGCCCACTTAATTACCTGTAGTGTACCGTAATCGTCAAAAGAATGGGCTGTAGAGTTAGACCCTTTAGTTCAAATTCTGGGTCTGCCATTTACAGTGTGACCTTAGGCAAATCATTTCACTGCTCAGAGTTTCTTCATCTGTAAAGCAGAGACAATCGTGGTTCCCGATAAGGCTTGTCTAAGATTTAGAAGAGGTGATATGTGAAATGTTGAACACAGTGTCTGGCACATAGTTAGCGTTCAATACATATTAGCTATTGATCTGTTAGCCAGGAGACCTTGAACAAGTTATGGCCCCCCTGAATCCTCCCTGTTCTGCTACATCTTCTAGGATATTGTGAATCTAGGAATGTAACGTGTGTGAAACTGCTTTGTCAACAGTACAGCACTATGAAAGTGTAAAATGGTGATGGAGTTGCAAGTGTATGATAAGAACAGTCCTCTGGGCTCTAGAGAATAGAATTAAGCCATGACTGCTGTGTGTAAAGAGATCCAGGCAGTTATGCCAGTTGTGAAGGCAGTTGCTCTGGGTCAAATATACCAATGAAGCCTGTCCTAGAATATACTGCCTTCTATATGTGAAAGTCACGCACTGACCTCCTTACTCTGACCTGTTTCTCCAGGAATATGCAGGAATTTACAGAGCCCATCCCCACCTCGTGCTCTAGCCCCACTCTGGCTAAGTGTCATAGCAGGACATCTGTCTAAGCTGTAGGAAGCAATGTTCAGCCATGACACAAGGATGCTCCTTGAACCTCATGTAATCACAACATGAACATGGTCTCACAGCTCACAGATTTGATAAGCTGATCCAATCACCTACCACTCCCCCTGCCGAGAGTCCGGGCTCCAGGGAGTAGCTGCCACGTGAAATTCATCTGCAGTTTCAACCACGCTTGGTCTTAAACCCAAGTGGTAAATATTGGGGGGTTAGAAGAGGGGAAATGTTTACTCTTCTCTGAGTGAGAGAACATTTTACTCTCAGCTCATAAGCCAGGTGAAAGGAACTAAGCCTATTTATTACTTTTATGAGTGGTATTCCAAAACTTCGTAAAATGTGTTGTTGAAGAAAACTTAAAATTAAAATTTCCATTTTAATTTTCATGTGTAGGATTTGCGAAGAAATCAAAAGAGAATAGCTGAATTGAATGCCACTATAAGAAAATTAGAAGACAGGAATACCTTGCTTGGAGATGAACGAAATGAATTGGTGAGTTCTAATCAGGATTTTTTTTATTTTTTGTTAAGCATTATGTTATAGAAGTATATATTATGTTATAGACTTATAACATAATAGAGAGAAGTGCACAAATAATAAAGGTACAGCTCAATAAATACGCCATAAATGATATCGCCATATCACCACCCCCCAGATGATTAAGTAGATCACCAGCATCTCAGACCTCCTTTCTGTGACCCCTACCAATCACCACCCTCCTAAAGTTAACCACTGTACTGACTTCTATCATGACAGATGTCTATCATCATTTTTAAAGTTTGTTGTAAATGGAGTCATACAATATTTACTCTCTTGTATCTGTTTTTTTTGCTCAGCGATTCCATTTGTGCTCGATGTAGGATTCATTCATTTTCATACTCTGTAATAGCCAATTAACACACCATAATATACTTATTTTTCTATTGTTAATGAACATGTATGTCATTTCTTAACAGTTTCAAGCTGTTAATGGTGCTGCTACATGTCTTTGGTGAGAAAATGTGCTCATTGTTGGTGAGAATATACCAAGGAACAGAATTACTAGATCATAGAGCATGCATATAGTCAGCTTCTGTTCGTTTAGAAAACTAAACAGTTTCCCACAGTTGGTGTAACACTTTGTATGCCCACTAGCAATGTATGAGGGTTGTAGTTTTCCCACATCTTTGCCAAAACACAAAGGCTATTGTTCATTTCAGCCCTCTTGACAGGTGTGAGGTATATTAGTATAGTGATTTTCATTTTTATTTTTCTTCTTAAAAATGAGGCTGAGTAACTTCTCAAATCTCTATTGGCCTTTTGGGTATCCTGTGTGATTTACGATTTTTTATTTTGCCTATTTTTTCTTGTGCTGCCTTTATTTCCTTATTAACATTAGGAATTTTTTTGCACCATCTTTTGGATATTTGTGTTTAAAATGTCCTGCTCCATGGCTTACCTTTTATATTCTTAATGGTGGTTTTGGCATAAAGAAGTTATTTCCAGCTTTTTCTTCTTTCAAACGTATGCATTTTAGGTCGTAATTGACTCTCTAAGCATGACTTTAGCTTTATCATCCCATGTTTTCTTATGTCATAATGGATTGGTATTTAATTCAAATCTTTTCTAATATATAATTTCTTCTTTGAAATTTTAGGTTACTCAGAAGGTATGGCTTAATTTCCAAACATTTGAGAATTTTGCATTATTTTTTTGTTATTGATTTCTACCTTAATTTCACTACAGAGAACATTCTATATTATTATTTAGTATTATTTCATTACTTTAAAATTTTTTTGAGATTTGCTTTATGACTCCAGCATATGGTCAATTTTAAAAATGTTCTATGTTCACATGAGAAGAAGGCATACTCTGTAATTATAAAATGCAGTTTGAGTCAAGTTTATTAATAACCTTGTTTAAAATCTTCTATATCTTTACTGAATTCTTTTTTAAGATTTTAAAAAAATTTTTATTGAGAAATTGGGGGAAAGGAAACAGACAAGTTGCTGTCGTTTTTGTTCTTCAGTCTAGTTGTGGAAGATGTTGCTTCACTGGCCCAAGTTGGCACCATCATTGCGCTCTTCCTGGGCGAGGCAGATCAGTCACCGGCTTCTGGACGGCAGCTGCTGGCCGCTCACGCTGGCTGCTGGCTACACA